CGAGACATTCAGCACTCTTAAAAGTTTGCTGCATACAGTGTGCCTAATGTGGAAGTCGCTGTAAGACACTACTGCGGAAATATCCATGATGTATGAGCTCGCATGTTTAATAATCTAAAATGTGAACTATTAAAGTGACGATATCTTTATAAGTTAATGCTACAGTCGTCTTGGTCAGGCAGCTAAAACCACGCTGTTGTGAATGTGGTAGTCTCAGTCTCGTAGTCTTAAGTAATCTGTGGAGGTTATCTTAATGTTTGAACTTCCACTCGAATATTAAATGGAATAACACTATGTCAATAAAAACACTTCGTTTCGTCGAAGAAACGAACTTCCGCCAGAGTTTTCCTGGTACAGTTTTTATTAGGTTCACAATATAACTACATCCCTTTTTTCATTGATGGAGAGATTCTTAATAATTCAATCAGCCAATTACATGTATTTTGAAGATCCATGGGCAATGCTGCCTCATAACCGATGAATTAGTGGTTGGCGGTATTCCGTACTGAGCTGAGGACTGGAGGCCGTTCTACCACCATAATCGTTGTATGTATGTTATCTCTTTGCTGAGTTTCAGCTTTCCTTAAGTCGGAATTCGACAGTCCAAAACTTTCCAGCCGTATTCTGTCATTATTGCTGCCACAGCATGCGACTCTTTTTAAGATTATATCAAAATTAATCTTCAGTAGACATGAGAGCAGAACATTTGGCAGCAAAAGCTAGCTAACCCTATAGACTCATTTTGCCGACTTGTTCTAGTTTTGCAGAACTTGGACGATGGACGATATCAGCGGATTTATACGACTCTTACTCGGGAATGCCGCCGCAACTCAAGCTGTGAACAATTCAACAGTTCCCATTTCCCAAACTACCGCCAGCACAGATGTGAAGAATCAGGCAGGTACCAATCGCGAATCGCCAGCTAAACCTCCTGGTGAGCAAATGTCTTATGACGTTTTTACTTCTGGTTTGAACGGATGAGCGGGTACACTTTGTGGCGCCTAAAGTGTATGGGTGTAACAGTTCTGATAAATTAAATCTTATTTTTTAAATTGTTCAGGATCTTGTTTTCGCTGCATGTGAAGAAAACATGTTTGAAACTCCTTAATTTTTACTGTGGAACTCGTCAAAATACACATGTTTATGTTATTGACGTGTTTCATATAGAAACGTC